TAAGTGACCCGCCCGCTTGCCTGCCAGCTTGACCTAACCCCCCCCCCCCCCCCCTTCCCCCCCACACACACTTTCCGTTGTGTGGCCTGTGGTTTGATCCCTCCCGCAGGGCTTGTGTCTGACGCTGCTGCTGCTGGCCATCTTCAAAAAGGCGCTCCCGGCGCTGCCCATCTCCATCTTCTTCGGCCTGGTTTTCTACTTTGCCACCGACAACCTGGTGCGCCCCTTCATGGACGAGCTGGCGCTGCACCAGTTCTACATTTAGCAGGAACACCTTTTTTCCTGAGATCAAACTCCCCTGTGACAGGACGGGACGACTAGTTTTTTTTCCAGCTCAGAGGAAGAGTTCCTCGCTGAATTTTTTTTTTTTTTTTTAATCCAACTCCTGTCTCAGGCTCAGCATCGCAAAACTGTGAATTCCCAGCGAGAATGTTTGTCCACCTTTTTAATTTATGCCGAGACAGAGCCTCCTTGGGTTCTTTTACTATCAGGGCAGCAGGTGCCTTGCTCAGGGACACCAGGAAGGCAGTTTCAACGCCCTAACTGCCAAGCTGTCCACCTCACTCCCGCCCGACAAGACCAGGATCTTCGAAAGAAGAATCCAAATCCCACGGCCCCTTTTTTTTACACCTTTTTCCCCTCCGGTGCCTCTTATTCCGCCTCGGCTGGGTTCTGCATGAAAGGCAAAAGATGGATACAATTTTGGAGCTTCGTAGTATCGGCTGTGATGGCGTGTAACGGTGTTTTGCAATGCCAGCAAAAGGGTGTAAAGTTTCACACTTCCTGTAAAAGCTGACATTTTTATACCTTCACCCATCTATCTCACTGTATAAAAAATTGGGAGGAACGAAATCAACGCAGCTTCAGAGGTAGTCCCGGAGCCGTAACGGCGTGTAAGGGTATTCTGCGAATGTCAGAACTGTTGTGTAAAGTTTGTCGCTGTCCGACAAGTATTTCATGTCGCTTCCTCCCAGAGCCACAACCGTGTGGAAGAGTAGACCGCAAGACCGGGAGCGTGTAAAGTTTCCCACATCCTGTAAAAGCCAACAGCTCTTCCGCTACCTCGCTGTTAGAACAGCGCAGAGGTCCCAGCGTGGGGGCAGGGGGGGCCAAAGTCGACCAGGGAATTTCTGCATGAAAGGGAATAGTGGTGTAAAGTTTGCCGCTGATTGGTCAAATTTTCCGCAGAATTTCTGTGTTTGTATAAAACAACATGGAAGGGAGTTCGGGGGTGAAAATGTGTTCTATGTAAAAAAAATAAGAAAAATCAAAGGCGACTAATTTCCACAATGTCTCTTCTGACTCCAGTGCGGCGAATTTGCGGGATTTTGATGTAAAAAGCCTGACGGGTGGCTCAGAGAAGGAATCTTTTTGAAGCTTGTGTCAGTGAATGTGGCCGTGCCCGGACAGTTGTGTGAAGTTCCGGATCTTCCGTTGGCGGATTTTCCCCAAATCTCTGCGTGCAAGCGTCTCACAGGATGCCCTTACGCACTACATCACACATCCAGACCAAGTGAGGTGAAAGATTTGAACGGCGTGAATATGAATAATAATAATAATAATAACTAGCGATGAGTACGACACCAAGTCCTCTTTCTTCTTCTCATACGCATATTTTTGTTTGGGCTGAAATTGCTTTAGTTTGTGTTCTTTAACATGCGTGATGTCTTTTTGCAAGTTCAAATGTGTTCACTTTGTTTGTGTTTTTTTAAATAAACAAAAGAAATGGATGCAGTTCTTGGTTTTCCCCTTCCAACCAATATGAGACGTTTTTTGAAGCATTTTAGTTTAATGACAATTTTGTGAAAAATGTGAATGCCATTTTTGTCTCGAGTCCATTTGGGGGACTTTTGGGATGCTTTTTATGTAAAACCTATCAAGTTTTGTACAAATCTCAATTGTCAGTATTTTTCTTATGCTTTAAAATTGGCAGTTTTCAGACGTTTTTGAAGGCATTTTACGTCTTACATGTCCTTTTGGGGGGGATTTTTGGGACGGCTTTTATGTAGAACAGGGGTGGCCAAATCGGATCCTGCAAAGCAGAAACCTGATAACGATTCTGATCATTTGATTCAGGTGTGTTGAAAGAGGGGAAAATAGAAAAGCCGTTTGAGAGCGCTGCTTTCAGCCATTTGTGTAGGAATCATCAAATTTTACAACTTTTTCAAAACCACTTAAAGCTATACATCCATTTTTAAACGTTTTTGAAGCCATTTTGTGTCTCTTATGTCCATTTATGTTGAATGTCGATTTCACGAGTCATTTTAGACCATCTTAGTCCATTTGGGGGGACTTTTAAGGCACTTTACGTTTCATGAGCATTGGCGTCAAAGGGGATAATTCCAAAGCGGCATCTCCAGACCTCAACATCACCCAGGATAGATCCACTAATGGGATTAGCGCGTTGGAAAGAACGAGGAGGACATTAGGTGAGAATAATCACCTGCACAGGAAGCGACCTCAGAGACGGAAGACTGAAAAAGCAAGCGGACGTAGACGACGACGACGACGACGATGTCTCAGGACAAGCTGGAGAGCCTGGTTCGCCGCATGGAGGAGACTCTGTCCGAGATGGAACAACTGAAGTCGCACTGCGGCCGGCAGAATGACGAGCTGAGTCAGCTGGTGGTGGAACTCCGGCGGGAGAACCAGGAGCTGGTGGAAAAGTACAACCAGCTGTCCGCAGACATGCGCGAGGCCCGCGAGCTCATCGAACAGCTCCAGGACACCAAGTACGCCTTCAATGCCAAGGAGCGCCAGGCACAAAAACTCAGCCGACAGCTCTGAACTCCCCACTGAGCATATTTACGGACAGAAAGAGAAGGTGCTGAAACCCAAGATGACTCTTTCATAACAACAAGCGCTTTCGGCGAGGCAAGTGGCGAGTCGCCTATTTTGGGGAACGGAGATAAAAATACGCTGTGATCCCGCACGGCCGTCGCAGCGCACCACAAAAAAACCGAGCGGATTGGATTGAAGGAAAATGCGTAGATTAGAATGCAAAACACAATAAACTTGTTTTATTCCACACGTTTGTTGTTCTCCTTGATGTTTGATGCAGTGCACAATTACTGACACACTTAAAAAAAGATGCACAAGACAACGTTTTTGGACTGAAAAAAAAAACTTCTGTCAATTTGTAACGTGACAAATGTCACGTTTTGACGCGGTAACGTGAATTTCACATTGTGATAAATTTAACGAAACGGCATCAATTTTACCCTTCAACATAAAAAATGTTCGTTATAATGTGAAAATGTTCATGTTTTAATATGAAAATTCTCACACTATAATCCGGTAAATCAAAAACTAAAATATCAACATTTGCATCTAAATATCGCTCTATGATGATACTTAACCGAACTGTAAAAAAAAAAAAGTACTGGAATATTTTGGTGTATTACTCTTCTTTTGGCCAAAATATCACTGTCTTGTCATACGTACAACCGATATGTTGCTGTATCGTGATACTTCACTGCCAAATATCATGGCATGTCTGTATCGTGTTTTGTATCTCGAATGTTAATGCGTGGAGGAAAATATTTTTTTTTCGAAGAGCCAACGTCAACTCTTTCAACTAATTTCCACACGAATGCAGCGTAACCAAAGTCGCTGACGGCTGATTATTGCGCTATACAATCAGCGGGGGTATAAAATGCCTATTTGAAATTGTGCGCTATAATCACGCTCCACCACTGGCTGCTGCGTGGGAGGCTTAAAACTCACAAACCTTGGCCTCACGTCCCCCCCCCCCCCGCCCCCCAGCAAAAAGGGGGAGAGTGCGGTTTTCAGCCGTTCTGCTGAAAAGTGCATGGGGTAAACACACGCACACATATGCTATAAAATGCGCACACACACACACACGTGGTTTGGGCCGGTCACACTGGTAATGTTCCTGTCAAGAGAGGTCTCATTGAAAAGCATCCACGATAAAATGTGACAATTATACTTCACAGCCAATGCTTATTTCCACACAAGAGCACATTGCGTCTCTTTTTTCGGTGGGTTTTTTAAAGAGTAAAGGGAGTACACTCGCCATTTCCTCCCTAAAATTCCCAAAGAATCCTTTTTAGCTGTTATTTTTGGACGCGTTTGGGCCAAAGTAGACAGCGAAATTCCCCTCCGATGTGCCATTCCTTTGATTTTTATGGGAAAACTGCTAATTAAAGGCCCGATTTAAGGTTTAATGTTGCTTAATCATGAATCCCAAACTAAATTGTCACTTTGGGAAGGGTTTTTGAAACACCACCATGCCCGTAAACAACATTGCAAGCTTTTCATTAAGACACGCACCGCACTTTGTTGTCACAAATCGGGACATGAGAAAATTGTCCATCAACGGCGGTTCAGAAATCAATAACTAGAATTTATCCACAACAAAAAGGTACCAGAAACACTACACAGACATAATTATTGCTTCTCCCGAAACTGAATACAATACGTTTGGTGGTGTTCTGTCTTCTACTGTCATACCGGTAGGATGGAATGATGACGCAAGTATAAGAATAGTAACTGTTAATAGGCTGCGGAGTGGAGCAGGGTAACGTTGAGCTCAAATTTACCTTTTTTTTTGTTTGTTTTTGTTTTGGCGCGGTGGGAGAACTTTATGAACAGATTGTACATAACAGAAGCATCACGTATGAGAGAAACACAAATGACATATCACATTAGGCAACCACATATATTAAAATTAAATGTATAAATACAATAAATAAATCAATGCCAGGGGTCCTAAATAAAAAAAAAATTAAGAAACATTCAAAATATTAAACTCACATTGAGCAGTGCACAACAGAGGGTTTTTGATGACGTCACACGTTACTACGTGAAGCCGTACAGACCAAAATACATAACAGGTCGGTTGCGTTTTGGTGATCGAGCGCTCATAGGTGCGTTTAGGTGGTCTAGTGCCACCTTAACAGAGTGCCCCCCCCACCCCCCCACACACACATACACACCGGCCTCACGTGTTGCTAAATGAACTCATCACAAAATTTACGGATCCTTGTCATTGACAACTCCGTTATAATTTTGGTGCTTCACGTAGCTGAAAGTGGACATTCAGCGTTTATTTATGAAGTTGTTTGTTTGACGTCATTCATCTGCAAAGAAATTTTCCCCAGCATCATAAATAAAAGTTTCTCCCCGACATCAGTGCATCGTGAAAGACCATTCCCATTGTAACTCACCCAATCATTTAGAGCAAACATGATGATGAATTTATGATTTAAAAAAAAATCAAACAGATGGACTAGTTCATTCATAAATTAAGTTTATCCCAAATTTTTTTAATAATAAAATGTAAAAAAAAAATTCACAGATGTATTGGATTTTTTAAAAAATAGTTGGATACTTCAGAATGAGTTATTTTATTTTTAAAACAAACTACAGTAGCCCTCCCACCCCCACCCACATTCACACACATTTTACGTAACAGGCACTTCTGAAAATGAATGCATATGAATTCCAAAAACCTTCTTTTGTTCACCTCATGTCTGAAAATAAATTCTCCCTGGGCCTTCAGAACCTCGACCCAATTAGTAGTTTGTGCTCCTTTAAAACATAAAGAGCCCGCTATTTGAAATATAAAAAGCGAGGCCGTTAAATATAAAGTGAGGCTTTTGGTCAACTTGGAATCAAATGACAACGTGGGCGTGAATAAATGATAGTACAGTCCGTGCAGTACTTGTATATGATGAAGATGTGCTCATCATTCTGGCGCGGTCAAAGTCAGGTGCTGGCGTGTCACCCTGCTATTACGTGTTTGCCATAATGAGCGCCCCAAAACAGTGGTTCCAAGTAACTAAGTACAAATACTTAAGTTGATTTTTCAGCCAGCTGTGCTTTACTGGAGTACCCAGCATAAACCACAGTCAAATTCTGATTTCTCTTCGAGGGGCAGTTAAGTGTAGTGGATATAAAAAAGTGTACACGCCCCTGGTCAGATGTCAGCTTCTTGAAATATTTAGGGAAAAAAAAAAAGCCCAAGATAAATCACGACAAAACCTTTTTCACCATTTGTGACCTGTACCAGTGAATATTATCACAAAACTTTAAGGAAAGTACTAACAGTGTGTTGTACTTCAGTAGAAGTACAGATACTCGGGTCAAAATAAATATTCAAGTGAAATTAAAAGTACTGATTCAATTCCTGTGCTCACGTAAAATCCAAAAGGTACATACAGTACTTGGAACTGTACTGAAGTACAAAAATAGAACGCTATTTTGACTGTTGTTTTTGTTGTTGTTGTAAAACACATGCATTGTTTTACGTTGCCACCCTCCGTCCAAAAAGTGGTGGGGAGAATTATATGGGCTCCCTATGCGCATGTGTTTACCCCCAACCCACCCCCGCGCGCGGCGAAACCAAACCCCCTCCTCCTCCTCCTCCTCCCACCCTAACCCCCCTTCCTCCTTGCCTTCCTTCCTCCCTCCTCATCACCTCTTCATCCCACCCCCCCGCATATATGAGGGCACCGCTGCTCTTTTTAGACTCATCTGTCGGACTGAGTCCAGCTGTGACAAACCTTCGAAATCAGACCGAGTTCGACTGCATCGAATCCGGTGAGTACTGACCGAATCTACGCGTTTCTTGAGTGGAAGGCATTTTTGTTTGGGGAGGGGAAAGCTGCAAAACGCGAGAAGGAGGAGGCGGAAATGAGTCGATTTACGATTCGTTTGACGTCGCGACGAACACGAGCGGAAGTGCAACATGTCAACAATTTACAAAGTAAAACACAGGAAAACTAATTCCAAAGTGTAATCGGAAGCGCGATTAAGGAAGTAATTTGTTCCAAGAGTAAAACGTACGTTTCACAAAATGTTAAGTAAAACTAAAGTATTTTTAGATAATAAGTACAAAATAAACTACAGATGGAAAAGGAAGTCTGATATTTAAGGCCCAAAAAGTCGTTAATGAGACATTTCAAGTAAAAGAAAACAAAAAGGAAAAAAAGACATTTTAATTCAATGAAATGGTTAAAAAAAAAAGAAATTAATGGTTGAAAAACATAAAAATAATATAAATGAATGGGAAAACAAAAGAACTTTTGAAAAAAGATGTTGGAAAAAAAGTACATTTTAGTGGTAAATGAAATTACTGAATTCTGTGTAACATTACAACTTTTTTTTTTCCCAGCACATTACATTTGTTAAGTACAGTTCAGTTGTATTTAACTTTAAAGTACAATTCTTTTGCATGTTATCTGAAATTAATGGTTCAAAAACATAGAAATAATATAAATGAATGGGAAAACAAAATAACTTTTGAAAAAAGATGTTTAAAAAATAAAATACATTTAGGGTTGGAAAAAAAGTACATTTTAGTGGTAAATGAAATTATTGAATTCTGTGTAACATTACAACTTTTTTTCCCAGCACATTACATTTGTTAAGTACGGTTCAGTTGTATTTAACTTTAAAGTACAATTCTTTTGCATGTTATCTTTCGGAATTGTTTGTTTTCAAACACTTTATTCAGGTACAATTTTGATGTCATTTTTTTATGTGAAATACATTTGAAGTGAATAGTTTAAGATTTTTTTTTCTTATATTTACATGACAAGACAATACATCTTTATTTACATAGCGCTTTCATGTTCAAACTCAAGCTGCTGGATAGACATTAATATACTGTCCATACTTTTACCTCCTACAGGGAACACAATTTTACCACGATGATGCTGTATCTGTTACTCCTCCAGCTGGTCCTGGCTCCAGCCCTTTTGGTAACACTTACATAATATCTCACACATAAAGTGTGAGAATAGTGTCTTAAAAGTTTATGTTTCTGTGTTTGTGCACCTAGGTGTCCGCTGAGGACTACTGGGATGGGTGGGGTGCATACGGACCATGCAGTCGGACTTGCGGCGGTGGTGTAATGGTCAAAAGCAGACGCTGCATCACCCACAGGTATGTGAAGTTTGACCCTTTGATTTGAAGAGGTCATTTGGGCTCGAGAGCACACTCTGTGTTTAGAAAAAATATATAGATTCTGAGTATGAGAGTACAACGATACATAAAAGTGTCTGCCTATGTAATGCATGTCGATAAATGTAAGTGCAGTTGTATATTTGAGTAGGTTTGTATGTTGACTTTCTTCCTTTTCTTTTCTTGTTGGGATATGCTACATGAATGACCCATTATTGTATTCCTATGAAACAAGTCAAACTCCACAAAGAACAAGAACTTTACTTCTTCCTCCTTCCCTTTGAACATGCAAACTGTGCGAAATGATGACCATTTATGTTTTCTTTTCTTTTAAATCTTTTTAGCCCAGACTGAAATATTTTCTGTGATGTGTTAAAATGTTCTCTAAAACACAACAGATTCAAAGATTTTAATTCACCCTGTAAAGCCACTTTGCATTGTGAAATTTGTTTGGCATGTTGAGTGTATAACGATCAAACCTACAAAAAAAAAGTCTCAAGAACCCATGGCCGAATAGGTACAGGAAGTTTTCTTGTTATTAATAGTTTGCTGCATGCACACACACACACACACACGCACGCACGCACGCACGCACGCACACACACGCACACACACACTTGTGTACATGTACAATTGGCATGGTCGCCGCGTAGTTGGCAGGAAATCTGTCCAAGTCAAACAACAAGCGTCTTTTCTGGGATGTCGTCTGGGAGAAGCCTAAACGTGTGTTTACATTTAATTTGTATCTCTTCAATTTTGGCCTAGATAAAAACCCTCCTAGGGGGTATATGGAAAAGTCGCACTTCATCATTTTGGTTTGTGCTCGCCTTCATTTGTGGCTTATGAATTCCTATGTCCGAGGCATCAAATAATGTTTGTCTGTGGGTCAATTCTTCTGATTTTGAGGGACATTTCTTTTTGAAATACAGCAGCCCATACTGTATTTTTACCTTTCGTATCTTGAAATTTCTTTCGTAACAAGAGGTAATATTTTCCAGTTGAGGCGTTTCGTAACTTGGAAAAAAAATAACTGGATCGTAACTAGCCCTCACTGACACATACGTGTGGAGCAGCTCGTAGCAACTAGCGGGCTAATTAGCATGCAGCTGCGCTAATCGTCTATTTACCCGCTTCCAAACAGGAATGACGGAGGCCACAACTGTGTTGGACCTGACAAGTCTTATCTGGCCTGTAACACCGAGGTAAATAAATGAAGATTTACCAATAAAACCGTGGCTCACTTGATCAATTTATTGTGTGTATTTTATGATGGCTACATCACGATATCCATTTGCACACTCAGGAGTGTCCCGCGGGAACCAAGGATTACCGCGAGGAGCAATGCTCCCAGTTTGACGGGACTGACTTCAAGGGGTCACGCTACGTCTGGGTGCCTTATTACGGAGGTAACTTTACACTCAATTTGTATCTAACAAAAATAGCTGGATAATTTCTTTCGGAATTACATGCAAATGCTGAATGTAAATCATTACGTGAAATGTGAGAACAAGAACATTTGAAAATACTCCATTGTATAATATGAGAACTGCTAAAATCTGAAGGATTTTACCGCTCATTTTACATGTCGGTTTTTGTTTTCTGACAATTGCTCAAACGCTAACTTGCCGTGTAGCAAAATAGTAAAGGGAAGCAATTTGAGCTGAACAATTTAAGGTTGGAAGTTTTAAATCTAATGAGAAATGCGCAAGGAGGAGGCAAATAAGTAGAAAATCTGCATTTATGTGTTCATTTTGTGATGGAAAATAAGGAATATCGAAAAAGTGGGAGTTTGTTGGATGTGAAAGTCGTACCATAGCTGTCCTGATTGAGCTGAACAGTCTGAAGTGGGGATTGTTTGAATCGGTTAAGAAGTGAGGAAGAAGTAGGTCGGGGAAAATGCTGAAAAGTCTGGGAATTGTCTGAATGTAAAAAAAATAAAAATAAAAAATAATTTCCAATGTGTGTCACAAATGAGCTGAACGTTTTGAAGTTCGAATAATAACTGACAACATAGCCAAGATGAGTTTTGGAACATGTCTCCATTTCTTTCAATGGGGATTGTTATCATGAAAAATATTGAAATGAGGGAAAAGTTGAAATTTTGTAAAATGTAAAAAAAAAAAAAATGTCGTGTGAATGAGCGGAATATTTTGCCATTGAAACGGTTTGAATTGGTTTGAGAAGAGCAACAACAATATGATGGAATACTAATCAAACACATTTGGTTACTTTTTGGCCCTTGAGGATTCACACACGACTAATAAGTGATGATATTTGCCCGTGACAGCCGAGAACCCCTGTGAGCTGAACTGTGTGCCAAAGGGAGACAACTTTGTCTACCGCCACAGTGCCACCGTTAAGGATGGGACACCTTGCCACCCTGGACGCCCTGACATTTGCGTGGACGGAGTCTGCAGGGTAGGACACGTCATTGATGGACCAACCCATTGGTGGAGAGCTAAACCGACATTTGCGTGGACGGAGTCTGTAGGGTAGGAAGGACACTTCATTGATGGACCAACCCATTGGTGGAGAGCTAAACTTGATATTCCATCGTAACGTTACCAAAAAAAGAAAAGCAAATAAACCCCATTTGTGTATTGACAATAATTTTATGTGGCAAAAGTTTTTACCTTGAACTTGTCTTCCAGCGCATGGGCTGCGACAACGTGCTGGACTCCCGTGTGGAAGAGGACCCCTGCCTGCAGTGTGGAGGCCACGGACAGTCCTGCTCGCTGGTCAAGAACACCTTCAACACGCAGCGTCTAGCCCACGGTACGGTACTCACGACACATTTTTTTGTCCTCCCCACGCAATAACATCTGCCAAGTCTGAACCCCGGTTTTCACGTCTGCAGGTTACAATCAGATGTTCACCATCCCCGCTGGAGCCACCTCTATCAGCATCAGAGAGAAACGCCCCTCACGCAATTACCTTGGTAAAACTATGAATGCTGCCCCCCCAACCAGGATTTTCTTTTGCTGCAAAAATTCCCATGAGTGTGTGTGATTAGCCGTCAGGAACCTGCAAGGAGATTACTACCTGAACGGCCACTGGCTCCTGGAGTCCACCCGTGCCACCCACATTGCCGGCACCAAGCTGTTCTACCAAAGAGGCGTAGAGGGCGACAACATTCCCGAGACCATCATCGGCCGCGGACCCACCACCGAGCCCCTTGTCGTGGAGGTGAGAGCACTTCCATTTCGGGGTCTCAAATCGTCCAGTGTCATCAAAGAGCCGAGAGGGTTAACTACCTGAATGTGTTCATGGCAGTTGATCAGCCAGGAGCCCAACCAGGGTGTGGAGTACGAGTACTACCTTCCCGTGGGACACCCCACAGAGGGATACTCGTGGAGTTTCGGATCTTGGTCTGCCTGCACCAAAGAGTGCGGATCAGGTGGGTAATCCAGACTCGGGAAACAGACTTGCCTCGCCGTTTGTTTTTGTGATGGTGTTTGAAAATATCCGCCACTTTCGCTGCCACTAGGCCACCAGTCCAGAGCCGTCTACTGCTCCATCGACAACGAGGTCGTGCCCGACTACCTGTGCGTGTACTACGCCCGGCCCGAGAACAACAGAACCTGCAACGTTCAGGCCTGCCCTGTCACCCACTCGTGAGTGAAACCCCAGCAATGTTTTATTTTAGAATACAGCCCCCGGAGACAGTTTCGCTTGCCAACATGATGTTTTGGTAGGCTTCTCTGTCCTGAACAAACACACACACACACACACACACACACACAAAAAATTAAATCTACCCCCCCCCCCAAAAAAAAGGAGCCATGCCTCAAAAGGTACAGGAAATCAGCCATGTTGATGTGATGTGGACGTTTCCCTTGTGAACACACTCCAGAATTTTTTCAAAAATTCAGTCCCCAGAGACAACATGAAATATGGTAGATTTTCGGCCATTTTGCTTTGAAGTGGTCATTTTGGTGGGTAATTTCCTGTAGATATTTTTGCAAAAATTCAGCCACCAAAGGCAGTTTGAACCTTTTGATGTCATTTTCTTTTCCAACAAACTGCCTTTTGGTGCCCCTGTGCCTCAGCTGGAGAACCGGCGAGTGGAATGACTGCGACGCCCCATGCGGAGGTGGCTTCCAGTACCGCGGCGTGGACTGTCTGTATAATGACGAGTCAGGACCCCGTGTGGTCGAGGATGCCTACTGCGCTCAGTACAGTCAGGCACCCACAGACCAGCAGAAATGCAACATGCAGGCCTGTCCTGACTACGGAAGAGCGGTGAGAGAATCATGTCTACTACCCACAATACAAAATTGCTCATTTTTACAAATTGTTGCACAGGCAGTTGTTGCAAGGCAGAGCTCCAAAAACAGCACCATTATCAGAGACAACTTTATTGTATTTACTATTCATTTTTTGGGGCATTCGAGTTATCATCATTTGAAATGTGACTTTTGACTTTAATATATAGAAACGACTCATCCCCTAAATAGCCTGGGTTGAATATCGAAACAGTGTTGCGTCATAGACTACTGTATTGACACAACTGTATCGGATATCAGTATTGTAATGTGTCACTAGCTATAGTATCGATAGAACTGGTTCAAAAATGTCTCACATTATGTATCGTAGGCTACAGTATTCCCAAAACTACTACTATAATGTACCATGAAGTATCTGTCGGATGTGAAGCAGAAATACGATTTGATCAGATATTAATATTGTGTTGGGATTTAGGCTACAGTATCGACGTGACTGAATCAACATCAGTGCGACTGTCAAATATTGATTTAAGCTTCAGTATGAATACGAGTGGTTCAGATATCAATAATGTGATGTATTGTCGGCTGCAGGATAGAACTGGATTAATGATTGATTTTGAGAATTGCTGTGTTACATATGTGTGCACTCAGATCATTTCCTACATCCCCGCTGAGAACGCCGTCCAGTGCCGCACCACCACCTACGGGTGCTGCTACGACCGCACCACCCCCGCAGCTGGGCCCAATGGAGAGGGCTGCCGCGACCCACCTGCTCCTTGTGAGTGTCAACAACCAAAACCCGACCGCAAAGGTTAAAGTGATTTGAGGGAAAAACTTGTTTTTGTTTTGTCCAGACGAGCGCTCCATCTGCTCTCTGCCTAAGGCTGCCGGATCCTGCGCCAGCTGGACCGCTCGCTTCTTCTTCAATGTTCTAACGAACAAGTGTACCGAGTTCTGGTATGGAGGCTGCCATGGCAACAGCAACCATTTTGCAACAGAAGAGGAGTGCCACAGGGTTTGCCACGAGCCCAATGGCGCAGCAAATGGAAATGGCAACAATGGAAATGGAAACGGAAATGGCGATGGTGACTCAAACGGAAATGGAAACGGTAACGGCCATACCAATGGAAATGGAAACGAGAATGGCAATGGAAATGGAAATGGTGAGCACGACAACGGAAATGGAAACGGTAACGGCCACACCAATGGAAATGGAAATGAGAATGGCAATGGAAATGGACGACAACGGAAATGGAAACGGTAACGGCCACACCAATGGAAATGGAAACGAGAATGGCAATGGAAATGGAAATGGTGAGCACGACAACGGAAATGGAAACGGTAACGGCCACACCAATGGAAATGGAAATGAGAATGGCAATGGAAATGGAAATGGTGAGCACGACAACGGAAATGGAAATGGTAATGGCCATGCCAACGGAAACGGTAACGGTAATGGTCGTTCAAATGGAAATGGAAATGGTAATGGCCATGCCAACGGTAACGGTAACGGTAATGGCCGTTCAAATGGAAATGGAAACGGTAACGGCCGCACCAATGGAAACGGTAATGGCCACTCAAATGGAAATGGAAACGGTAACGGCCGGCGAAATGGAAATGGAAACGGCCGCACCAACGGAAACGGTAATGGACACTCAAATGGAAATGGAAATGGTAATGGCCTCACAAATGGAAATGGAAACGGTAACGGCCGTACCAACGGAAACGGTAATGGCAACGGCCGCACAAATGGAAATGGAAATGGCCACTCAAATGGAAATGGAAACGGTAACGGCCGTACCAACGGAAACGGTAATGGCAACGGCCGCACAAATGGAAATGGTAATGGCCACTCAAATGGAAATGGAAACGGTAACGGCCGCACCAACGGAAACGGTAATGGCAACGGCCGCACAAATGGAAATGGTAATGGCCACTCAAATGGAAATGGAAACGGTAATGGGCTCACAAATGGAAATGGAAATGGTAACGGCCGCACCAACGGAAATGGTAATGGCAACGGACGCACAAATGGAAACGGTAATGGTAACGGTTACGCAAATGGAAATGGAAACGGTAACGGCCGCATCAATGGAAACGGCAATGGCAATGGTAACGGTAATGGTGATTCAAATGGAAACGGGTAATGGCAACGGTCGCACAAATGGAAACGGTAATGGCCACTCAAATGGAAATGGAAACGGTAATGGGCTCACAAATGGAAATGGAAATGGTAACGGCCGCACCAACGGAAATGGTAATGGCAACGGACGCACAAATGGAAACGGTAATGGTAACGGTTACGCAAATGGAAATGGAAACGGTAACGGCCGCATCAATGGAAACGGCAATGGCAATGGTAACGGTAATGGTTTTTCAAATGGAAACGGTAACGGCCACACCAATGGAAACGGCAATGGCAACGGTAATGGTTATTCTAATGGAAACGGTAACGGCCGTCCCAACGGAAACGGAAATGGTAATGGCCGCACCAACGGAAATGGTAATGGTTACTCTAACGGAAACGGAAATGGAAACGGAAATGGTAATGGCCGCACCAACGGTAATGGTTACTTAAATGGAAATGGAAATGGTATCGGCCACACAAATGGTAATGGTCACGAGAATGGCAATGGAAATGGTGAGCACGACAATGGAAATGGAAATGGTAACGGCAACGGTCATTCCAACGGAAATGGAAACGGTGAGCACTACAATGGAAATGGAAACGGTAATGGAAATGGTTACTCAAACGGTAATGGGAACGGCCACTACAACGGCAATGGAAATGGTGAGCACGACAACGGAAACGGTAATGGTAACGGAAACGACCACTCCAACGGCAATGGAAATGGTGAGCATGACAACGGAAACGGACATGACGACTCCAACGGCAATGGAAATGGTGAGCACGACAACGGAAATGGAAACGGCCACACCAACGGCAATGGAAATGGTGAGCATGACAACGGAAACGGTAATGGTAACGGAAACGACTACTCCAACGGCAATGGAAATGGTGAGCACGACAACGGAAACGGACATGACGACTCCAACGGCAATGGAAATGGCGAGCACGACAACGGAAATGGACATGACGACTCCAACGGCAATGGAAATGGTGAGCACGACAACGGAAATGGAAACGGCCACTCCAACGGCAATGGAAATGGTGAGCACGACAACGGAAATGGAAACGGCCACACCAACGGCAATGGAAATGGTGAGCATGACAACGGAAACGGTAATGGTAACGGAAACGACTACTCCAACGGCAATGGAAATGGTGAGCACGACAACGGAAACGGACATGACGACTCCAACGGCAATGGAAATGGTGAGCACGACAACGGAAATGGACATGACGACTCCAACGGCAATGGAAATGGTGAGCACGACAACGGAAATGGAAACGGCCACTCCAACGGCAATGGAAATGGTGAGCACGACAACGGAAACGGCAATGGTAACGGAAACGGCCACTCCAACGGAAATGGAAATGGTGAGCACGACAATGAAAACGGTAATGGAAACGGAAACGGACGCTCAAACGGCTATGGACAGCGTTCCAACGGAAACGGCAATGGCCGCTCCAATGGCAATGGAAACGGTAATGGCAACGGAAATGGAAACGGCCACTCCAACGGAAATGGGAATGGTGAGCACGACAATGGAAACGGTAACGGAAACGGAAACGGACACTCAAACGGATATGGACAGCGTTCCAACGGAAACGGCAACGGCCGCTCCAATGGCAACGGAAACGGTAATGGAAACGGCCACTCCAACGGAAACGGAAATGGTGAGGAGGACAATGGAAACGGAAACGGTGAGAACAGAAATGGAAATGGCCGCTCCAATGGCTACCGCTTCAAGATAGCCTCCCGCGTGGCCCACACTGCCCACAAGGCCCGAGTCTACATGAAGGCCCGCAAGCCTTACTTTATCACCGTGAAAAAGCACTACATCCCTGGGGCCAGGTAAGAAACTTTAGAGGGGGGGGATGCGCCCCTAAAGTAACCCGATTCTCCCTTACCACAACCAACAACCTCCTTCAGTCACCACCTTCACCCTGTAACGAACGCTTTCAAACCCCCCTCAAATGAAAACAGATTGAATAAGTGTGTAGACACCACCCCGTCCTGCCCCGCTTGTGTTCCCATAATCCACCCGACATGAGCTCACTAGCGCTCACCTGCACTTGTTTGTGTCTGTGTGTCATCTCATACTATGTTGTCACCATCAACTAATAAAAAATGTGCTGTGATGCTCACCCGTCCTCGTCCGAGTGTGGTCACTAAAAATCTCAATGGAAACAGTACTGTGGTACCTTGACTTAGCTGGAAATTAGCTGGTGTTTTTGGGATGGCTGGAACAGATTAATGGCATTTGCATTCATTTCAATGGGATAAGTTGACTTTCGTTACAAGCAATTTCAGTTACAAGTGCAGTCACCAAGTAAATTGAAATCTTAAGTCAAGGTTTCACCTGTATCTTTGTTGTGTAGCATTGTGTTGTTGTCTCGTGTCTGCATGCGTCTTCGTCACCTGCTTGCGTGGCACTCTTTATGCCCACTTTGACCCACGTCAAAGCGCAGCATAAAGTGACTTCTCCTTGCTCGCTCTAGTTTGACTTTGCAAGCCCAGGTCAGGATCGACCAGTCGGACCCGTCCTCCGTGGAAGCCCTAGTGGGCCAGACGGTGGTCCTGCCCTGCAGAGTCAGCCCGCCTCCATCGCCATCGTCGTGGTCATCCAGTGCAGCCGTGGTGGTCGAGTGGAGGAAGGATGGAGCCGTGCTGACGTCACACAGGTCCGAATTCTAATCACTATAAATGGCAGGTTGTTTTGAGGACCCACCCGCTGGGTATCTGGATTTTTCCTAGCGCTGGGTTAGCTATTTTACCCAATGTGGGTGACTTCTGACCCAGCAGTTTTAGGGGTGTAGGTTTCCTCTGTTTCCAAAACCACATACCTATTTGGCTCTGCCTGTGTCCTTTCTTTAGACAACAGCAGCAGCCCAACGGTTCCTTGCTCCTCGGACCCGTCAGCAAGTCAGACGCCGGCTGGTTCTTGTGCGTGGCCACCAGGGAGCAGGAGAGGGACCACCGCTACGTTTACCTGACCGTCTCAGGTAAAGCCTTGGCGAAGGTCTGCGCCCTGCCATCCCGTCAATGTGTCCCTCATGTTATAACCTACGTACAGAGGGGCCGTCCCAGCCGCAGCCCACCACATCGCCGACGGACAAACTCTCACCAGGGTGAGCGCAAAACCCCTTATATTTTAATTTTGAAGCATCGCAGGAGGAGGAAGTGCCGTACGGACTTGTGTGTTGTACTTCCTGTCAGGTTCACCCTGGAGCGCTCGGCGCCATCTTTGCTGGAAACGCGGGCGGGAAACGCGGCCCGACTGTCGTGCACCGTCGTACCCGCGGCCGCACTGCCGTTCGTCAGTATACAGTGGACGCGGGACGGACGTACGATCAGCGACTCCAGGTTGGTCCATATTTACTGGATATTGATTCGATTTTGAGATTAAAAAATGTAATTTTCAAGGCGTTTGAAAGCTTTTTCTTTGCAGAATATGTTAGTATTTTACAAAGAAAAAGATATGGCACAAAGAATAAGTCCGTTCTCAAGACTTGGAATGTCTTTATATCCCTTTCAGGGACAACGTAACCTGATAACACGATAAGCCGTCCATTGTAGTAACCGCTGTCCCTGAAAGGGTTAAAATGGAGACATTCACCCTAAAACTGCTTCAGAAAGTTGTTAAAACGGACTACGGATGGTCTACATTCAAAGCCTTGAAAAAGTCTGAACATTGACATATCGAGACGAGTCGCCTTAAAAATTAAGACTACTGCCTGTCAAATTATATCAAAAGACGAAACGTGTGTCCTAAAGGTTTGTCCAGCAGTCAGATGGCGCACTGCTCATCGAGTCGCTCCGGACGGAGGACGCCGGCATTTACACTTGCTCCGCCTCTACGCAGCACCAGCTGGAGCAAAGACGCGTACAGCTCAGAGTCCAAGGTGAACCAAGTCACGCGTCATACTTTCACTCTTTTCACAACAAAACAAAATCTTGAGATAGTGTTTGGAATCTATGTCTCTTTCTTTCTCCCCCTCGACGGTTGCGCTTTCAGCCGCCGTGCGGATCACCAAAGCTCCTGACAACATCCAGGTCCCTGAAGGCAGCACAGCCCTGCTGCCCTGCGTGGCGTCGGGAGACAACGTCAGCATCGGCTGGTCCAGGTACTCGGTGCTCACTCACCCTTATCATTACAGTTGTACCTTCACTGACAAATTGAATTTGTTCTGTGACCCAGCTCTTAATTCAACCCCCCCCCACCCCCTAAGAAAAATGGCATTGTACAGTCTTGTACTTCATAAAAACAAAGCTATCGTAATATAGATTTTAAAGAAATTAACTCATTTTGCTGAATGGCTGAAATACGTTTTCACTTAAATTTTGACCAAATTTGATTTTTGTCCGTTTTTTTTTTTTTAATTTTTTTTTTAAGTCATGCTTCCACCAGCTTCTTTATTTTTTTCACGGACAGGTGTGCAGCTTCGAAATGATTTTAACGTTCGTGCTTCATCAAGTGAAAGTCGTGTTTTTCTCACAAACATGATCCACTTCTTCTCATCAGTTTCTCAGGACTGTCGTTAGAAAAAAGACAAAAAAAAAAACAGAAAATGAGACCACAAAACACAATACAGTGAATCCCTCTTGACGGGAGATAGTGAGTGACCCTTTCCCTGAACAATGAATAACTTCAATAGTTGACGCTCCTACTCAAAGGGATTTGAATTTGTCTCGATGCCACAAGGTGGCCACAAGGTGGCGGCAAAGCAGAGCGGATAATAAAGCATGCCATGCATGCACACAATCAGGAACCCATTCAGTAGCTAAACGCAAAGGCCGCATATTTTGGGATTATTGTGTTGAACCACAATTCAAAAGCAATGTCTTCTTTTCATTGATGACTTTTCATACATTTTTTAAAGATTATTTTTCTTTCAATAGCACAACAATTTGGTCCTCGTGTGAAGATCTGACTCTTGTCTGCAAAGCAGTGAAAGGAAATATACTAAGCTTTCTTATGATGGAATACAGAGGGAGCAAATGCATCAAAAAAGGCAGGGGCCCTAGAATCGAACCGAGTGAAACACCATAAGACAGTGACCCAGAGTTCTGATCGTGGTCAGATGAGTGACTGCCCATTACTTGAAAAACTTGTAATTCAAGGTACCACTGTATACGGATTACATCATCATCATCATTATCATGATGGCTTTTCCTCGGGGCGTAGGAATGGCGTCCCGGTGCGTCCAGATGGGCGTAAGGTTCAGGTGTCACCCGACGGGAGCCTGATCCTGAACAATGTGCAGGCATTCGATGAGGGCACGTACACGTGCAACGCTTATGCTGGCGTTTACTCTGTCAGTGCCACAGCTGACGTGCGCATCGCTAAAGATGGCCATACAGGTAAGTAGGTCTGACCCCCAACCGGTCGCTTCATTCGGTATGCCCATTTCAATTCTTAGATTTTTTTTTTAGGCATATTGGTGACATCATCATCATCATCATCGTCAGTGGGAACGCCGTGCTTGGACCAGCCCAAGCTAGCCAACTGCGAACTGGTGGTCTACGCCCGCATGTGCACCAACCCGTACTACGCCGCCTTCTGCTGTGCCAGCTGTGCCCGGCAAGCACGGAGTGGGGACAGGTTAGCTCAGTGACTCTGTGGTGCCAAAAAAGTCAGCGCTCTGGGCTAATCCAACGTTATCATCAAGTAGAAGAAGTTTTATTGTCATTTCATCATATTGTTTTATTTTTGTATGTTCACAATAAAAACAATACGTTCACAACAAGGTCACAATGTGACTGTGCTGCTTGTCATGCTGACTTGAACCACACAGAGTTGACTGTGCAAGTTAGAAAAAGCCCATCATCCATTTGGTTCCAATGCGAATCCACCATTAAATATACAAAAACATGAATTCATTGAATGATTCTTTAAAAAAAAAAAAAAAAATCAAACAAATAAACAAGAAAAACAAAGGGATTTATTTAGTGGATGTTTATATCATACATGTAAATACACAGTTTTTATTTTTAATTGGATTATTTCATTCATTTTTATCATTTACATTTTAATTAAATGTCAATGCATGAATAAATATTACAAATAATTTTATATGTATGTGTTGTATCAAATTTCAAACGTTGATGAATCGAAACAAATATGAAAGTCACAGATCGTTTTTTAAAGGATTTTTGTTGTATATAGTTTATCGTTTAAAAAAAAAGTTAAATAGAAATATAGCAAATTGTTCAAAAGGGGAACAGCCAAGCAAAATACTCACAATTAAACTTGTAAAGAAAAAAATACATCTACATCAAATAGAAATGTGTACTAAAAAAAGCATAACACGAAGTAGAATTTACAACAGTATGCCCCTGGCTAAAAGATTAAGAGAAAAGCCAGAACTAATCCTCTTAATTCCTACTATGCCTGTTTTCTGTTTGCAGATATTGATAGAACTGACCTACTGGGAGCAGCACACACCTCTCACTCCATTTTGTCAGTTGTGACTGCACAAACAACTTGCCATGGAGCTGTAGCGAAGCCCAATCAGCTAATCAGTAGAATTTTGCTTATGTGGAAGCTGTGGAGAAAACACTTGATGTGCTCGAAAAAAAAGCTGACTGTAATTTTGGAATCAGCACGCCAATTTTTAAATTAACTCAACACTTTTTTTTTTTTTTAGAAATTGTTCCCTAGTGTGATTCATCGGTTTAATTAATGATGCTAAATTTTGTTGAATGTGAATAAAATAGCCCGAAATCCTCTAAGAAAAGGCCAAAATTTGGCTACAACATTGCGGTGACGGAGACAGATCTTGACAACATGGCGTCCATAAATCACGTGACATAGTTTCACTCAAGGCAAAACGCGCGGTACCGGTTTTCATTTTTGACGACTTTGTTGGTTTCATGGGTGCGGCCATCTTGGAAACGGGAGTGGACCGAGTGGTTGGAGCTACATCTGAAAGATGTACTTTTTGCACTGAAGTTAAAAACGACGAAAACGGAGTGGCTAACCGCCTCTCTCGTTCTCACTGACTCGAGTGACGTACTCGCAAAAAAGAGGAGAATGATGACACGGGTGAACCGCGATTTAAATGTTATTTTGCACCGCACACGAAACGCGCGTGCAAATGTTGTTTGCTTGACTGTACTGTACTTCTCATTTCCTGCCCACGCTTGCGACGCGTCGCACATCCGCGTGTGCCTTTTTGCAAGCGTGCAGGTGCAAAATGGAGCTCGCGGTGAAGTTGGAAAGTTGTGTGCGCGCATGTGTCGGTGTTTGTGAGCACGGTGACCACATCCTCTCTCGTTGCGTGACCTCACTTGACTCGAGAACAACACCTTCGACATTTCAAATGTACTCTCGGTGTGCATGCAATTTTTGCAGAATAACATTCTTGACTTATCTAACTCGTGTGTAGTTTGGGCGGGCTCAAAATGTGTCGCAAAGCACAAGTTGAGAAAGTCAATGTATCAATTAAAAGTAGAAAATAAAATAGGTTTGTTTTATTGCAATATTTAAAATGATTCATGTAGTATATCACTCAAACTTCATTAAACTGACATTAACTGTGAGAACATAAAACTTATGTGCTTCAAGGGAGGAGAGAGGAACAATCCACATGAGGAAAATGTTCAAATAAAAATGAACAGCATAAAAATGGCAAGAAATTAAAACAGAATATATTTCTATAAACCGACGTATGCTGTGTATAACAGTCAAATTCAGTTTTAACATCTTAAATCCTGTATCGGAATGTTTGAGAAGTACCAGCAAAATCTTTTTTAATCATGTTTATTTAACCATACGTTCAAATAAGTTATGTTTAGGTTTATAATTATTCATGATACATTAAAAATTAATTATAAATTAATAATTTTAATTAAAAGGACTGGCAGCAAAAAATAAAATATCCACAAATATAAACTCAAGAAAATTATGACCTTTAAAATATTATGTGTAAAATGCTTTGTCAAGTCAAATTGAAGTATAGGAATTTTATGTTCAAAAGGAAAGTCATTAACAAGTTCTGTTTTCTTTTTTAAATGGATAAAATACTATATAATTTATAATGGAAATAAAATGGAAATGTGTGACATGGAGCTGAGAAGTCAATTCCTAAAGAAATGTCATACTTTTTGACATCCCCCCCCAAAAAAAAAAACTTAAATGGTAGAAAAAAAGGCACATTTCATGAACAGGAGTAAATAATCAAGCAGGTGACTTTAATTCAAAGACAAGCAAAGCACATTGTTGTTGTGACTAAATAATACTTTTATTCAACAAAAAAATACAAGATAAAAGATATTTCTCCTTTAGTGGTTTTTTCCAGACGGCATCTGCAACAAACAAGAAAATTGGAGCAAACGTGTTAAAGTCAATCTCGCTTATTCAATGACAAACATGTTGTAAACACTGACGATGGTTTCGAGGCACGTCTTAGGTTAGCCTTACATGTTATGGATAAACGTCAAAAGGCGGTTTGGAGTCTTCAATGAACCTTTTTGAGTGTTTGGTGAGCATCAAAGACGATTCGTGTCACGTGAACCTAACACACTCGTTTTGGTCAATATCCATCTTCAAGGACATTTTTGTTAACTTCAAAGAAAATGAAGTCTTCAAAGATCTTCATTTTAGTCTTGATTGAACCTATCAAATGTGTTTTTGTGAACATCAAAGAGAATTGAGCGCATTTGATTTTTCCTCCTCGGGACAGGATAAACTCCGGGAACAACCGACCCTGATCCGCCACAGCAGGAAGGCCACAAAGGCGGCGTAGACGCAGCTCTTGGCGATCAGGACGCCGTATGACAGCTTGGCGCTCTGCGTCAACTTCAGAAAGCTCTCTAGAGGGCAAAAGACGGACGGGACAGCGTTGAGCGCCGCTAGCTGCTAAGGCGTTTCGATTAAACATCAAAAAAAAACATAATCACCTCGACTCTGTCCGTCTTCAGCTGAGTATGTAAAGAGAGGACAAGATAACGATCAGGTCATGGCATCAAAAGTAATTCATCAAAGACAACGCATGTTTTGGTATGAACATCTGAGACAGTTTAAATGATTTTGAAACAGGTCTTCAGAAATTTCAAAATGTTTTGTGGGACAAATTAGCATGTTTTGTGAACATCAAAGATAATTTACACGTTGCGAAAAACCAATTTTCAATTTTTTGGTGAACATCAAAGATGATTTGCCGTCTTTGAAGCATAAACAGCAAAGGCCATTAAAAGTCGAGCATGACCTAGATGTACATTTTTTTTCAAAGACAAAAAAAACGAATGGGTATTTTTTTTTAGAAGCATCAAAGACATGACAGACCTCAATTAACCTAATGTATGTGCTTAGTAAACATCAAAGGCAATTACATTTTTCTTCACATCAATGCTAATGAGCATTTCAATTAATTCAGCATCAAAGACGATATACGATCTTCTGTCGACATGTTTTTTTTTTACAACAGACAAAGTAGCGTCAGAATGAAAATTCTTTCTGTAAACATCAAAGACAATTTGGAGATGGTTAATCGAATCCACGTGTTTTCGTGAGCATCAAAGACAATTTTGGAAGTGTTTTATTGACAAATTAGTGTAGCATCTTGATTTAGCATCGTGATTTTGGCGTCCAGTCAACCGACTTGCGAGAATTTCTCAACATCAAAGACCACGTAGTCTTCAGTGATCCTAATGAAGGTGTTTTTGTCAACATCAAAGACATTTTTGGAGTGGACAAAATGATAGTCACCATCATTGCCGCTGATGGAATCTGGAACGTCGACATATGTCTCCCCATTGAAAAATGTTACGACACAGGTGAACTTCCGGCTCCCGCGTGACCATTCGTCCGCCGGGACCCTGAGCCTGCTGGTGATGCTATATCTGACCCCTCGCTTCCGGGCCTCGGGGTCCGTAGCCACGCCCGTTTCCCTCTTCTGCCCGTCCACCATCCAGGCCACGCTGACGTGGTCGGGGTAGAAGTCGGTGGCGGCGCAGACCAGCGTCTTCTTCTTGGTCTCTCTGTCCTTCTCGTTGGTGCACTCTTTCTTCGAAGGCGGGAACAACGTCACCTTGGGAAGCGTGATTTTGGCATTTGGTTCTGTGTGGCGCCAAGAAAAGTAACATGATTATCGTTGGTCATAAAAAGACGACGTAAAGCTCCTTTTCATTAATACCCAAAATGATGATTTACAGTCTTCAAAGAACCTTGCGTAGAAAAAAAAAAACGGGTTTTTGAGAACAACAAAGACGACTTACTTTTCAGTGAACTTAAGTCTGTCTTTAGTTTAACATGTTAGATAGTATAATCTTTAATTAACCGAACATACATGTTTTGCTAACATGAAAGACAAATGAGACTTCAATAAACCAAGATTATCGTTTTTTGGGGAAACATTGGAGATGATTTTAGTTTTCACCAAACCAAATGTACGTTTTTTTAAAATAAGCATCAGACGATTTTTTTGTCCTCAATGAACCCGAAACAAAACATGAATTCTACTATATTAAATATTTTTTTATTAAACGATACGGCTCGAGTAAAACACAAGCTTTTCACCAAAACAGAAACTAGATTTATTTATTTTTTGCTGATTTTCGAAAGCTACTCAATTACAAAGTCAAAGAGTAAGACACAGCTTAATGAGATGACTAAAGAAAAACGTTTTATTGCACATGAGCTGATGAGTAAAAAAAAAAAAAAAAAAAAAAAACAAGGCTCAGAGAAAAAAAAACAAAAAGCGAAAACCTCCACTTCAGACCCGTTTAACCCACTTGAGAACGAACTTGACCCAAATCAACACATCTCGATTTACTTTAAATGAACACTTCTTACCATTTGGTCGAACAAAGCCCGCTTCGAGCATTAATTACATCCACGTTTTTCTTACCTAAAACGGTGACTTTGGTTCCTGCGCCGAAAAAAGCTGTGCTCAACGAGCACAGAGATGCAGAGCTAGCACACAAACCTCTCCACCTCCCGGCTCTCCGTCGCGTCCTTAAAGCGACACTCACTGTCTATCCTTTTGCTTTGACACCTTTTTGTGAAAATACACTAGACACCAATTTGCCTTTCATGACGGCTTCCCTTCACTGAACGCTATCTATCCTAAAGGCTTTTGTGAATACTTTATGTCGAAGATGAGTTAAAAAGTCCTCAGCAAATCTAACGCGATTTCGTAAACAGTAGAAAAGTATTCAATGCGTTCTAATCTTCACCGAACCAAAGTCAAGGTTTTTGGAACCTCGATGAGAATTGAATCAAAATCAATAGCGTCAATATGTATGTGTTTTTTTTTTTTGGGTAAATGCTACAGACAATGAAGCGAGCAATATATATCTATATTTTTGACATACCAGCATACATTTTTATCGACGAAGTGCATCTACAGTCTTCAAATAAACAATTGCGGGTTTTTTTTTGGGGTAAGAATCTGCAAGCTGATGTTATATGATGAATTATTTGCATTTTATTCATCATATTATTTCATGTTAAGATTACCTAAATTACATTCTGTTGTTTAAATAAGCTGCACCCGAAGCAGTCCACCCCGAAACACGCGATGCATTTTCACCTGCGCTTTAGTTTTCATATAAACCTGTTTTTTTGACAAACACATGAGGTTTTTTTTTAAATTCCTGTCGATCTTGTTCCTGCATCGACGACAACGTCATTCGCAGAAGTTCCCCTGACAAGTGCAGCTATCCAAATTAGTACGTAAAACAACCCATAACTGCTCATTTTCCACCACTTTCACATTAATTGCATACAAAACCGGTTCTCCTGACATTGTGTTGTTTCTGTTTCTTACCTGTAACGGTTAACCTTGTTCCTGCGCCAAAGTAGACTTCCGAGCCGTCACAGTGCAACGGTCTAGTGCACAAAAGGCAACCTGCCGCCAACTACTGATTTTCACAATTTCAGTGTACTTTGGAAGATTTTAAATTCCTCACGTTGACTTGTTACTGTGTCTTACCTAAAAACGGTTAACCTTGTTCCTGCGCTAAAGAAAACTTTATCAGCATTGTCACCGTACAGCTGTCCCAAATATAAAACATCCGAGCAACGTCTTATTTTGTGACACTTTGGTGTCATATGAACATCGTTTTCCTAACATTGCTTCCTTCACATCTTACCTAGAACTGTCAACCTTGTTCCTGCACCAAAAAAAGGCCCCATAAGTCCTTTGTAGAAGTTGGCCAGTGCACAGAACAACCAGTCACGATTCATTTTCCACCACTTTGGTTTCATATAAAACCCATTTTCTTCTGGAAAATTCAGAAAGCTTTTAAATTCCGTCATTGGCTTCTTCCTGGGTCAAACCTAGAACTGTCAACTGTCTGTCAACCTTGTTCCTGCACCAAAGAAAACTTCATAACCCATGTAAGCCTCACACTGTAGCTGCCTGATATGTGACACCACCCTCAGCGACTCAATTTTTTTCCATTTTAGTTTCATTGGAAAACTTGTGAAACTTTGCTTGTTCCTGTGTCCTACCTAGAAATTTCAACCTTGTTACTGCGCCAAAGAGCATCATCAGCAGAGGCTCACCTTTTTTCTGACCTTGGTCCATGGGATGTTCGCAAGCTGAGCTGTGAGTTTAGCATTTGGATGAACACATCTGTAAAAAAAAAAAAAAAAAAGAAAAAGAAAAAAAAGAGGATACATGGACACAATTGGCCCAAATGGTTAAAACCTGACGGTGTTGCGGTCCACTCGCCTGACTTGTGTGCGGGCACTGTGGAATCGGTTCGCACTCAGTGTGCATGTGCGTGTGAATGGTTGTTTGTCTCTATCTGTGTCCTGCGACTGACTGGCGACCAGTCCAGGGTGCAGTCTGCCTTCCGCCCGAAGTCGGCTGGGATAGGCTCCAGGAACTCTCTGTTCAGGATAAGCGGTGTTGGATCGGGGCGGATGGAGGCGGGACATCTTCTCACGTCTGATGAGGGATGATGTTTGCGAGGGAGGTTTTTGTACGGCCCTTCTATCGGCTTGTATCACCGTGGCCCCCTGTATACACAGTGTGTACGCTTTGTTCAAAAACCTGCATGCTGGTTTTTCATGGTTTTCGTCCCCCCCCTTCCACCATTTTTTACCCCCCCCCCCCACTTCCTGCGC